ACAGACACAAAAAAGCTGGGGTCAGGAGGACTGCACTTCAAGACTGCAGCCTGAGTTTATTTTCCAGCAAGCTTTTATACACTGTTAAGCGGGAATGTACTATTGCTCAAAATAGCGCCCCCATCCTTGTTCTTGTTTGTCAGGCAAATATTTTTCCCAAGGCTAAGCACCTGATGTTTTCAATAACATTAAAGCACAAAAGTCAATCTGACCGTGAGAGAGACAATCTGACCGTGAGAGAGACAATCTGACCGTGAGAGAGCTGTGTCTGCACGTCCACATTTGAACGAACAGACCTCTGCGTTCAGAGCAGCTCCCAACAGAGAATGTTGAGGGCAACAAATGTACAAATGTGCTCGACAGCATGGATGCATGTATAGATTGCGATAAGAGTTGTACGAGCCCCCAATAAAATGATTTTTAAAGGAAACACAACTTAAATTTAACAAAGCCATTTTATTGTTCAACGTGTTAAGACAGAATTTCATTGTTATTATATAATCTTGCTTCAAGGCTTCATTTATATTAATAGCGATGTCTCAAAACTCCAAAAGAAAGAAAGAAATCCAAAGGGCAGCATTTGCCCAAGGACAGAGTTCAGATAGGTTAGGAAAGGAGGCCGAGTGGAGACAGGAAACCCAGGAAGGAAATCGGAGATAAGGTTGATTGATGAGAAATCAAAACGGGGAAATTCCCTCCGACTCACCGGAGATGAATGTGCTCCTGCTCTAGGGAGCGGTAGAGAAGCCTGGTGCCGGGTCCTTACCTACCAGACTAGAGAACTGTGGGGTAGTGGTCAGGGGGGCTAATGAAAGTACGTAGTATCTCTCAGTGGGCCACTCCACTCCTCTGGAGGGCTCCTGGTTATACTTGAGAGAAAAGCAGAGCAATTAACGAAGTAACTCATGACTTTCATCACGCTGTGTTGGGCGTGGGGCGGAATATAAAGTTAAGGTCACTCCACCCAGGAGACACGTGCACAGAAGCTCTCATTCCACCCCAGAGGAAAGGCCTTGTATGGAGTTATGTTCATCATTTACTTGGTGGTGAGCCCAGCGAAGATACTCCATCTCTACTCACAACCATAACAAGTCAGGTAAACTTTTCATCAATTTAGCACCCATACAGAAATAAGAGGCAACCACACAATAAAGATAATTTTAATTTATTCAGAATAATTTGAAAGCATTCTTTGCATTGGTAACAAAAAATACATTCTCTCTGCTTCAAAGGGTTTCATGTAATACTCTAAAAGCATATTTGCTCAATGTGGTAGCGATAGCTACATATAGCTACTGAGCACTTGAAATGCACTTAGTTTGAATAGAGATGTGTTCTAATATTTACACACACTCAATTTTAAAAACTCAGTATGAAATGAAGAGGAACAGATATTTAATTTTTAATATTAATTATACATTAAAGTGATATTTTGGACATAGTGGATTAAATAGCATTTACTATTAGAATTTATTTCACCTGTTTATTTTTGCCTTTTAAAAGTTGGTTATTAAAAAAATAAATAAAAATTGGTTATTAGAAAACCTTAAATTACAAATTACACAAATGTGTCAAGTTTGTGACTTCTATTAGATTTCTATTTGACTACCCTGGTCACAAGCACAAGAATGTAGCTATCCATGTGGGATTTCTATCAAGAGAGTTTGAGAGAGAAAAGTGACATTTTGGTTTTCCCTCATCAGGAGCCCTCCTTGGCCATGAAGACAAGAATCAGTGCTGACAGCATTAGAATCACACTTCAGAGCAGGAAGTTGCAGGAATAGCAGGCAGGACTAAATTTAAGAGAAGGAAATGTTGGTTCTCGTATTTTAAAAAAGGTTTGTTGGATGAATAACTCCTGGTCAAATGCCTGTTCCTAATTTTGCACTCTTCTAACACCCCAAAGACACAAAAGATATTCTTTTTATCATTGTAATCTTGTAGTACTTGCTTATAGAGTCCTGGTGGTGTAGTGGTTACTTGTTGGGATGCAATCCCTGCGGTCGGCAGTTTGAAACCACCGGCAGTTCCTCGGGAGAAAGACCGGGCTTTCTATTCCTGTAAACAGTTACTGAGTTCTCAGAGACCCACAGGGGGTCACCGAGTGAGTGAGTGAGTGCCTGCTTCAAAAGCAATGCCATTCCAGAGAGGAGTATTCCTGCTACGACTTTTTCTCAGTACTGTCCTATGAGGACAGTGCTTTATATATATATAAAGTCATATATGTATGTCCATATATATATGACTTTATATATATCTCTATATATATATTACTACTTTGGAGGATGTTTCTAAACTTGCTTTGTGGGAATAATTATACATTGTTTTCTTCTGACTTTGATCAAAGGCCTCTATCATGGTTTCAATGCCATGAACACACTGGAAAGCAAAAGCGATCTCAGCCGACAATATTTGTCAAACATTAGACAAGATTTGTCATTATGGCAACTGGACAAATTATCTCTGGCCATCTGAAACTGTCCCCGTGGTCATTAGGGAGATGTTTCACCCTCTGCTGTTGAAGTTGGGTGATTTCCTGACACGCAGGACAGTGCATTTGTGCTCTCTGACGCATCACAACCGATGACGTGACATGGGGGGTTTTTCATTCCGCCATGAATTTTGCAAACCAATGACTGTGCTTATCAACAGACCGTATGAAAGAGCCAGCTGAGCTGGGAGCGACAACTGTCTTTACAGCAACCCAGAGACAAGGATGGAAGGAAGCATCCTTCCTTCAGGAAGAGAAGAAAGCCAAGTCCCCTTTGACCACTGGCCATACCAGATGTTGATGCGGCCAAAGACTGGGAAGGCTTTACTTTTAGCTACTCTACCATCTCTGTCTAAAGCTGTCGTTGTAATCAAAGATCGGATTAATGAGGTTAGATGTGAACAATTTGGGGTCTAGGTCAATGATTAACAAGTGGTAAGTTCTCCACCAATGTCTGTTGAATGAGTGAGAGAGTCAGAGTCTATGCTTCTATCTATATGTCTATTTTCAAGTCTCATTTTCAGTAGCATAAGATATTGTAGAGTAATCAGTGATATTGCTTGATACTTTATTAAAAGAGTATTTTGTCCCTTGTTTTGTCACACACACACACACACACACACACCCCTCCCTTGTTCTGCTCTTATGGATGGGTTTCCCATTTCCCAAGTCAAAAAGGTAGCCTGGTCTTGAGTTTGTTTGCCTCCACGGTTCTTAGGTTATAGCAGGAAGCAGAAGTTGCCAGGTAAGAGAAGGCAATTCCTCCCAGTCTTGTTTTGTTGTTCCAATCACTCCTGGCTCAATGAAGAGAACGACGTAGAAAGGGACGCAGGGATCGGGATAGATGCTCTGAGTTTGGTCGCTGAAAGCTGCAGGGTATGAAGAAAGAGGAAGACTCCCAAGTCTAAGAGATGGGTGGAGTGGGGCTCGAGAGAGCCTCTGAGAAAGGTGAAGAGCCCAGCTCTGCTTGTGAGGGACTAGACCAGGCATCCTCAAAGTGCGGCCCGCGGGCCACATGCGGCCCGCCGAGGATGTTGATCCAGCCTGCCGGGTGTTTTTGCCCATTTGTTTTATTTCAAAATAAGATAGGTGCAGTGTGCATAGAAATTTGTCCATAGTTTTTTTTTCTTAAACTATAGTCCAGTCCTCCAACGGGTCTGAGGGACAGTGAACTGGCCCCTTGTTTAAAAAGTTTGAGGACCCCTGGACAAGACTCTAGTGGCAGGCTGGTGACTTCCAGGAAAATGGGCTTGGGAGCCGCAGGTCAGATGTAACCGGCCTGTAGGACATGGACATGGACATGGCGCTTAGTGGAGAATGATGTGAAGAGAAACCTAGAAGCTCCTTCTCTGACTGGTCTTATCACATACGAACCGGGATCCACATCAGAACTTGAGGCGGGAGAGAACCCCACCAATGGATGAGATTGAAATCCTCACCAGTGGGATAGGCCGTGGCCCAGAGCACAGTCAAGTATTTCAGCGTATACTTCAAACTCCCTAAAAAGGTATCGTCTAAGAAGGTTTTTGCTTGGGCGATGACCAGTGAGCAGCACAAACCTTTTTACAATTTGTTCACAGAACCCGAGGGCTAGCAAACGTGCCTTTGTTCACCTAGTCCAGAGTCTGCATCTTCAGATAACAAAAGTCAACCTGGAAGACATAAATAACCTGCCCCAAGCCTCTCCCCACAAATCAGTGCAGAGCTGAGGCGGTCGACTCTCAAAGACTGCTTACTTCGAAACGGAAACCAACCAGAACTGTGTAGAGCACCCAGCTCTGACGCTGACGGCGGAGAAAAGAGAGGAAAATAGAACGACCTCGATGGTCTTAGGTCCCACTATCGGATTTGTGTGGGAAATGCCCCGAGTCACGGCGAAAGCGATTGATGCTACACTTTCTGAGATACTGTAGCTCCCTGAGGTCCCAAGATCCCCAAGCTCCTCTTTCTAAGGTATTTACAATAGCAATGTGTATGTGTGGTAGTATCGAGAACACAGACAGAAGTGTTTGCTAGCAAAAGCTGGGTAGTGGTTTGTTTTCACAGAAGTGTGTGTGTGTGTGTGTGTGTGTGTGTATTAAATGTATCTAATAGCTAAAGAAGAGAAAGTCTCTTTGTAATGTTTGATTGCGCCGTATTCCTGACAAAGCAAACCAGCATGCGGTGCATAAGGAAAAAGACCAATTGGGGTTGGGCTTCTGACTTCATTCTGGACACCTGTGTCGGAGACGGTAACTCTCTTTTGGACAAGAGCCTCTTTGTAGCCCAGGGAGGAGACCTGCTAGGGGGGGGTGGTGGTGGTGGTGGTGGTGGTGGTTGGGGGTGGTGGTGGTGGTGGTGGGTGGGTGGTGCCTCTGTCCATCCAGCTGCTGTCCTTGGGCTGCTGTGAGTTCCCGCTCAGGGAGGCAAAAAGGAAGGGTGCAGACAGGACGATGCTTCGTGGTGAAAGCCCTTCCTGGCTGGGTCACAGGGCGATGTCCTTCTTGTCCGTCTCCATTCAGCCAGCTGCTCAGAAGTCCTGGGAGTATTCTCTTTTCCAGCAGGGCCCGTGGCGGATGAGGGTGAACAGCAGCAGCGCTAGCACGCTGACCACCAGGCAAAAGGCAATGGCCAGTACAACCTTCAACACTGTGGGGACAGAGGAAACGCGTTAGTGTGAAGTGAGTGCACTAGGAGAATATGGAGAGCATACGCGTGTAAACGCGGGGGTGGGGGGTGGGTGGGGGTGGGGTGGGGTTCTGAAGCACCCTTGGAGTCAGCCTTGTCGTGGCTCGGCAACTGTGGTGCTGTGGTTGATTCAGCTCACGGTGACTCCACCCAGGTGCCAGTCAGAGCAGAATTTCTCTACAAGGTGTTTGAGGTGGTGACCTTTTGGAAGCAGATTGCCAGACGTGTCCTCCGCAGTGCCTCTCGGTGGGTTCGAATAACCAATTTTCGGTTAATAGTGGAGCACGTAGCTGTTTGCACTATAAAAATCTCCTAACATCAGCATGGGGGGTGACAAAAGGACAAGATTATGAGTCAGGTGGCAATCTAGGCTCCAGCACGAACCTTTGGGCCTAGGTTGAGTCACTGTAAAACAACAAAAGCAACCTTACTGCCGCCAAGTCATTCCACCCACAGCAGCCTTATCAGACAGATAGACTGCTCCCTGGAGTTTCCACGGCTGTGGCTCTTGATAGGAGCAGACAGGCTCAACTTTCTCCTAAGGTTCGAACTGCTGACCTGGGGCTTAGAAGCCCAAGGTGTAGGCAATGATGATTACATCACTGTAGGCCTCCAACCATTGTACAAGGGGTGGTTGCCTGAAATATTTCTAAGGATTTCTTATAGCCCTAACTTCATGCCTTTTTCTTTTTGACATTTAGGATAAGTTGGCAATTGTTTTATCGTCTTAGGACTGAAGAGACCCTGGAATCATTAATTGGTTCTTTTAAAATATATGTCATAACATCTTTTAGTCTTGGACTCTGATTTTCAGAGAGGAATTTTGCGCACACGTGGACTATGTCAAGCATGCCGGTGTACTACGGCTAATCTGTCCATTTATTCACACATCACTCTTTGATAGCTGACCACTAATGACATAGATAGATGGGACCCTTTTGTATAATAAAGATGCTTATTCACCATTTTACCCGGAAAGTTTCTCCTCTCTCCCACCTTCTTATCCACTAAGGAATATTTGTCATAAATTCTAGTTTGCACCATCTCTAAAGGGATGTCCTTTCAGTGTGAAACTATGAAGTTCCTTAGGCAATGGGGACCAAACATCCCTCTCCTCTGGCAGTCTCATCTGTTAGTGCGCAGTGGACAGAGTTTGAAAATCACTGATTCAACCCAACTGCATCATGATAGGAATAAGAACAAGACACGGTGAGATTAGATCATCCGGCTGAGGGGGAGCCGGTGATTTCAGTGGATTGGAATTCATGGGATCTCACCACTCCCATGATTTAAAGAGTCAGCTATTAACTAATGGCCCCAAACATAACCCCCTGGTGCTGACCTTTCTCCAAAACTCAAGGCTCTTCTATGTGCGATGGATTCAATGTCTGTCCTAGTCATCTTTCTCTTCTCTGACGGAAATACCACAAGCAGGTGGCTTGACCAAACAGTAATTTATTTTCTCAGAGTTTAAAGAAGTACAAATTCAGGGTATAGGTTCCAGGGAAGGCTCTCTCTGTGGTCACTCTGGGGAAAGGCCGTTGCCTGTTCTCAGCTTCGATCCCTCGGTTCCTTGGCCATCACTGGCATGCATCTTCCCCTCTGTGGTTGCTTGAGGATGGCATCATGGCTTACAAGTTGGGGTGCTAACCACAAGGTCAGCAGTTCAAAACCACCAGCCACTCCACAGGACCTTCAGGATGAGACTTTCTATCCCATAAAGAGTTAGTTTCAGAAACCCACAGGGGTAGTTCTCCTCTGTCCTGGAGGGTCACTATGAGTTGGAATCAACTTGATGGCAGTAGATGCTTCTCTGCTTAATTTGTTCCTTTCTGTCCCCAAAGGGATGGATTGAGGACACACCTTCTACTAAGATGGTCTCACGAACATAGCAAAACCCACTCCCAAATAGGATTATAGCCACACATTAGCAGTTAGGATTTACAACACACAAACTTCAGGAGGGACACAATTCAGTCCATAACACTATCTATTCAATGTCCTCCCTTGGATGTCTAATAGGCATTTCAAGCTCAACAAATCTAAGCCTGAATGCCAATGGGTCATTATGAGTGAGAGTCTACTCAATTCCCATGAGTTCTTTGTTTGATAACCTTTTGTGTCTCAGGTGATGGTAACTGCCTCCTCTTAATGACTCCAGACAAAGTCTTCTTTGCCTCTTTCTTTCCTCACATGCTCATCTGTCTGGAAATGCTGTTGGTTCTATCAACAAAATAGATCCAGTTCTCCTCCCTCCTCTGCTGCCGCCTCCCTTGGAACCAGGATCCTTTGCCAGCATCACCGCAGCAGCCTCATGATTGGTCCTCCACCGCTGCTCTCTCTCTGGTCAACCCAGCAGCCCAACAACTGCACCTCAAATCAGGTCAATCTGTGTTTAGCTCAGGCCATGCCCTGAATGTTCCTCTCACTCAGAGTAAAAACCAGAGTCCCCCGATGGCACTTTATGAAGTTCTATATCCTCTGGCCCTTACTGACCTCTGCGATTTCCTTCCCTTCACGTTCCCCTGCACGGACTCTCTTCTGAGCACACAGGCCTTTTGTTTCTCCTTGACCTTGTCAGACACCCCTCCCCCCACCAAGGATCTTTGTTATCAAAAACACCTGCCTTGGAGAACTCTCTCACCCTCTTTACTCAAAATATCAGTGATGCCTACCTTGACCTTCCTATTTAAAGGTGAAACCTGGGGACCCTCCCTCAAGCTGCCATTTGTGATGATCTCCTTACCATGGACTTATTCCTAATGTGTATTAGCTAGTATCTGTTCTTTTCTCCTCTAATAGAGTGCAGGTTTCATGAAGGCAGAGGGTATAGATACAAAATCTATCCAACTATCTGGTACATAGTAGGTGCTCAATAAATATTTGTGGAGAGAATTACCCATCTGGAACTCAAAGGACCCAAGCCTTAGTCCAGTGCTGTTGTTGCTCCCGTCCTCCAACAACAAGCCACAGCAGAAGGGAGACTGATTTAGATTCTGTTGGCCAGGCAGCATGAGATCTACAGAGAAGGTTCACTTGAAGGGAATGGCAGAGAATGGAGGAAGAAAGGAAAAGTATAAACGGAAATGAGGCATGACGTCTGCAGTCAATGTTCGTGGCTGATTTGGGGGAGTTTATTTGCAACTTTTGCAATTGGCTGTGCTAAACATCTGGCGAGGAGGCGCTGCAGGTCAGGCAGGATCCTCTGCTGTGTGCCCTGGATGAGCTAGCTCCACGTTGAGTGGGAGAGCCAGCCCGACAACTGTGAGGGGATATGGCACACTCAGAAAGGCCGGGGGAAGACACGTGGTGGGACCAGCCAGAAAGCGGAGATTCACAGAATATCTTTATTTGAAAGAGAAAGAGTTAGGGAAGTCTTCGGCGTCTTATTTGTAAGATTTGATCTGAGCTTTTCAGGTGAATCATCTTTTTGCCACGAGACAGAAGTTTCATAAGGATAGGCTTGGGGATGAGAGAGCAGCTGCATTTGACTGGAGCATCGGCTATGGGCAAGTGAGACCATCTATCTGTAGAGGTTGGGGCTCAGGGATTTTTTCAATGTGAAAGATCACAATGTATTAACTTTTCTGGCTTATAAAATGCCTGGATATGTTTTTCACATTAAATGTAATAACATCTACTGAGAACTTCCTGGGGGCCAGTAACTGGTCAGAAGCTTAATTTTCCTTATCTTGTTTAAGCCTCCTAAACAATTTATTATGATTCCATTTTTTGAGATAATAAAACGGAAGCTTCGGAAGACAAGTAAAGAAGGCTACATATCATATTTGAAGACGCAGAGCTTGGATGCCAATTCTGGAGCTGTTGCTCAGTATTAATGGTTTAACTGTCTTTTGGACATCATGCAGCTGTGCTGAGCTGTCACATTCTCGGAGGTCTTTGGGACCCATTGTTAAAGGGCGTGGTTTGCCATTGGGCAAATGGGAATCCCCGCAAATCATAGGGCAATGGCATGACCCACTCATTGTCGAATAAGCAAAATTCAAAACAGCGGAGGAAGGAGGGACTGTGTAAACCTGCAGGCTTCATAGAGAAACTACCAGGATTTCTGACAAGATCCCAGGGGCTCCGCCCTGGCACGGTGGCCCTGGGAATACAGACACGGGAATTGAAGAGAAACCTCTGAGGTAGAATGGCCAGACCGTGGAGAGAGACCCAAGGAACTGATACAAGCGAAGTGAGGGGTCAAAGCGACCCTGTGCACGCTACTTTGGATGGCTGAGAAGATGATTAGGCTGAGACTCAAGACTGGGAGCACGTTAAAGGAATGGAGTTGGTTTGGAGCAAAGAAGATAATGATTCCCGCCCCCTCTCCTCTACCACCAATGTACCTTTGAGAAGGGGTTTCAATCAGATAGAGATGCAGCCATTAGCGGGGCGGGTGTGGGTCTAGACTTCTAGCTACAGATATGTGAATGGGGACTATAGAAGCAGGAAGTCTGGTTCTATTTGCTCATGTTGAATGTCCCATGAGAGAACCCAAGGCAGAGTCCAAGAGACAGCCCCCCCCGCCCCCCATGGTATCGATTCAAGAAAAACTCCGAGGGGTCCGAGAGCAGTAACAAAACAAACAAACAAAACCAGTCAGGAGGGAACTGCACATGTGGCCAATGCTAGCTTGTTTGGACTCGTCCACAGTCGGGTGCTGCCAAGGGTTCCCTCGTATAATATTGTCGAAATTGAGAAGAGAGTGCTGTCGGTTGTGTCTTATTGCAGAAAGGTCTAGTGCAGGCAACGACTGAAAAGACATCCTTCCTCATGAGAAAATCTAAAAGCGATGAAACACCGTGCGGATAGGGACTACTTTTTTTTTTTTTAAGCATTCTGGCAACATAGATGCCAAGAGCTTCTCTCTCCTCCCATTCATGTCCAGGTCCTGCCTCCCCTTCACCATCCATCCTCTTTGAAGCAGCCTGTTTCTCCTCTACCCACTCGAGTCC